TCCTCCTCTTCCTCAAGTAGGTAGTTATATAGACACACTAACCTCCTCCTCCAACAGACAGACAAATAAATGACACACTAGCCTACTGCTATGCCTCCCCTAAATAGACAGATATATAGATAGAAAGATAATAGATAGATAGATAATACATAAATAGATAGATACATAGATAGATACATAGATAGGCAGGCAAGTAGAGAGACATACTAGTTGCCTCCTCCTCCATTGGATAAACAGACAGTCACACACATAGACTAGCTTCTCCCATCCTCCAATAGATAGGCAGGCAGGCAGGCAGACAGACAGACACACTAGAGGCGGGGTGCCACTGGGGACGTGGTTCGGCGCTGGCTACAGGGGAATAGGGTGCCCCTGGCCAGCCAGAGGATTTTCTTTCATGTCCCTAGCTGCCTTGCCAGGGGGCGGCCTCCGCTCCCCCAAGTTTGCTGGACTCAAGCCTTTGAAGTCAGCCTGCTCCTGGGAGCAGGCATGGTGAGGTCAGGGGAAGAGGTTGACGGCAGAGGCGGAGGCGGCACATCAGCAAAGGGGGTTGCCTCGGCGAGTTGGTCATCAAAGTCATTTTATTAAAAACAAAAATTACAGCCATTATTGTAACTTAACCAAGTAGCTAACATTTCATGTTTTCTTTCAAAAAGGCAGAATTAAAATGCTATATTAATGCTATCAATATTTTGTCTACCACTTCAGCAAAAACTCAAAATAAAACATAAGAGTGAAGAGGAAGAAGAGGTGAGGTATGTTCAGATGCCTCCTTTATAAGTCAAGCATCCTCACAATGTCCTTCCTGGCCTTCTAAGCCATTGAATGGAAATGTGTCCAGTTTATATTAAGTTGTAACTAACAGTGATGACCAAACATTCAGTGAATTAGACAAGAAAAAGGTTCAAATGCAAATGTCATTACTATGGACTGTATCAGATGATCTATAAAGACACTAAAGAATAAAAATGAATAGGATAAACTCATTTGAATGCAACAATAGGAATGAAGGTGTTTCATATATGAAATCTAATCTGAGTCTCTGAACCATATATCTTTAAACATCAGTGTTTGTTTCTATCATTTTGGAGGCCACAATGCCCTCTCCTAATTTATTAAAAAGGAGTTTGTTAATAAAACTTAACCTCATGGTTACCAGGTAAACGAGCCAAACTCTGAACATGAGTTACTAATATATGCTTATTTTTAAAATTATATAATTAAGTGATCCTATCTTAAAATTTATAGCATCTTTTATTTTATACTTGGCAGCAATTTGTTTCTTCTTGGTGGCATTTCATTTCAGTGTCATCAAATAAAACAATGATGTCTGGCATCATTGATTTGATTGGAGATCACTGGCATCTTAGATTTGATTAAAAATAGTATTAAAAAATGTATAACTAGAAGACAGCTTACCCATGTATCAATTGGCCCTAGAAGTCACTATTTTCATAACTCTTCTTCCCTTTTTTTTGTTTGTTTTCAGAGCCCTGGGACCTTGGTTATGTTACTCTTTGAGACCATCTGCATTGTAAGGGTTCTACCACCTTCCTGACAGGACTGCTATGACTATTACAGACAATGGAGGAAAAGCACAAGCAATATGGTAGAAGTTCAAGACATGGTGGCTGTTATTTCTTGAGGAAGACATTCCAAAAATGGTTCTATAATCATTAACAACATAGTACCTCACTTCTAATTTCTGAGCTGTATTAGAAACGATTAAAGTTAAGCAAAGAAATCTCTGGAGTTTAATGCGTCATTAAAGCAAACAAATGGCACTCATAAGTTGCAAAAAAAAAAAGAGAGAGAGATAGAAACTATTCTTATTTGTTTTTAGACTATGTACCACCTGGAACACCACTCCTAAAGATTTAAAATACTACTGCCAGATCAAGTAATATATATAGATCTGTGTGCCCTCCAACAGAAATAACTGATTTTTATTCAATCACTTTAAGTTAAAATCAACATATCATACAAAAATAACCATTAACTCAAATTTCTGGCCTGGGTCAGGGCACATTGTTTTGTCTGTCTGTTTCCCTATGTAGTACTTCATTTCAGTGTCATGTTTGTTCATGAGCTCAAGAAGTCGCACTTCTATCTGGGCTTGATTCAGAAAAGCCTTCTTGTTCTTTATTATTTTAATGGCAGCCCATTCTTGCTCCACACGATCATATGCCTTTACAACGTAAAAGTAAAAAAAAGATAAATAATATCTCTTTCATTAACAACAATTTACAATTTACCTTAATTATACATTTAT